TGTCTTCGTTGTTTGCATACGCTCTTTATCTGTATTCATTCCCTTTTCTGTTAGCTTTGGTTTCATTTGATGACTAAGGAAAAATTGATATCCAGTAGAGACCCTTATTTATCATTACTTTGGTCAAATATTCCAATTATGTTGCTTTGCACTCTTTTGTTTTAGAAAAGAAAAGACATAATTTATGTTGAAGTATTTTGAAATCCAGTATTCTTGTTAGCTTTAGTATGCAGTTAATTTTATACACTCTTAACTTAATGATATTCCCTTGTCATTGTGCAGCCTGCCACACTTGCTGCCAACGTGCGGGCTGTTTTCACTTGCCTCTTGGACCAGGTGGAGTTACATTTTTCTCCATATACTGAGCACCTTTTTCTTTTACAATATTATTGTATGATAACTATATTTGTTTCTTTCATTTCCATTACATCTTTAGGTCAGTCTATATATTACAGAAGGACTTGAAAGAGCTCGCGATAGCTTGACCGAAGCTGCTGCATTGAGGGAACGGTTTGTCTTGGGAACCAGTATGAGTCGAAGAGTTGCTGCTGCTGCTGCTTCAGCTGTAATTTCTCCACAGCTTATTTCTTTTGTTTATAATTTACCTGCACTACTTTCTAACTTTGCTAGTTTAGAAGGGTATGAGAACGATAAACACCAATCTGAAATTAGTTACCGAGTGGTGTTGATCCTAACCAGGCAGAAGCTGCTGCAGCAGCTGGTGAAAGCAGTTTCAGATCCTTCATGGTTGCTGTACAGCGTTGTGGGAGTAGTGTGGCTATCGTCCAGCAAGTATGTCATTTTTCTTGATGGTTATAGTCGCTGGTGTTTCTAGCCAAAATCATGATAAAATTCACTAAAGTATAAAAAACTGCCTTCTGCAGTACTTTGGAAACTCTATTTCCCGACTTCTACTACCTGTGGATGGTGCGCATGCTGCTTCCTGTGAAGAAATGGCCACAGCAATGTCCAGTGCAGAAGGTGCTGCTTACAAGGGGCTCCAGCAGTGCATTGAAACGGTGATGGCCGAGGTTAGTAATCAAGCTTTCTTCCTGATTCTGAGGTCATGCTTTAATTCATGAGTTCTTTTTCGTTTACTTAGATGTTTGAGATTGTTAATCCTTGAAACTCTTGTAGGTTGAGCGTTTACTATCAGCTGAACAAAAAGCAACAGATTATCGGTCCCCTGATGACGGCATGGCTCCTGATCACCGACCAACGAATGCCTGCACAAGGTGTGAAATCTTAGTCATGTTTAATCCGTGTTTGAAGATTGTTGAACAAATCGAGATTTTGATATTTTTTCTAGCATGTGCATGAGTCATTATGTGGAAAGCATATTTTGATTTCCATTCTGGGTCTTATAATCCTTATATCTCTTTATCTCGTTGTTCTTCAAATACCTCATATAGACACTAATTATATCACACTTGCACATCTCCTTCTAATACCAGGGTTGTTGCTTATCTATCACGGGTGCTCGAGTCAGCATTCACAGCTCTTGAAGGCCTTAACAAACAAGCATTCCTGACTGAACTGGTATTTATATTTTCTTTGAAAAGCTGTATAGGTTTGGGTTGATGCCATGGCTTTCAGTTGCTGCATATTATCACCCCAGTAACTTAATCTTGAAAGGCAAAAACTAAAGAAAAATATCTTCTTTGACTTTGACACATCAAATCTTAACTGCAAGCATATTTAATGGACTTATGTATATGGAAATATTTCGTTGAAATGTTATTGCCTGTATCGTTGTTCAGTTAGCATATTTTTTGCGTGGGTGAATGTTTGATGTCTAAGCCTGAAATTCTCTCATTGGTTTAACTGAGGCATAACTTGATCCACATGTGAAGCTTTGTGGACCAATCTGTTAGTAAAGCCAGATACTGGGAATAGAAATTCTTGGTAAGCTGCAAATTAGGAAATTATTAACATAAATTTATAACTTGACATATGGCTGTTTCAGGGAAACCGCTTGCACAAGGGGCTGTTGAACCATTGGCAGAAGTTCACCTTCAATCCAAGGTAATGTTTGTCGCATGTTTTGATTTCTAGTCCTGAGCTTCATCCTAAATTACTGAGTCACCTTCAATCCAAGGTAATGTCTGTCGCATGTTTTGATTTCTAGTCCCGAGCTTCATCCTACATTACTGAGTCTGGGGCAACAATGTTAAATA